TCCCGGGAGGTCACCATATTGATGCCGAACTTAGTGCGGACACCCAGCATAACACACTACAGCCCAGAACTCCTGGGCTCAAGCGATCCTCCCACCTCAGCCTCCCGTGTAGGCTGGGACTACAGGCACGTGCCACGGCGCCCGGCTCCTGTAAACTTTTTACTGCAGTATAAAATACTGGGATCACTGATGATCTCCAGCTTGCTCAGTCTATGACAAATCTCATCCCTTCCCTGTGCAGCATTTGACTCGTGATTGCTGCCTGTTCTTGGATGCGTTTGCTTCACTTGGCTTCCAGGACCCTTTTGCTTTTTCTCTACTTCCTTGGGCTTCTTCCATTTCTATGTTGGTGCCTCTTCCAACTGAACCTTAAATAATTTTTAAAAATTAATTATTATTTTTTTTGAGATAGAGTCTTGTTCTGTCACCCAGGCTGGAGTGCAGTGATGCGATATCAGCTCACTGCAACCTCTGCCTCCCAGTTTCAAGCAATTCTCCTGCCTCAGCCTCTGGAGTAGCTGGGACTACAGGCACACGCCACCACGCCCAGCTAATTTTTGTATTTTTAGTAGAGACGGGGTTTCACTGTGTTGGCCAGGCTGGCCTGAAACTTCTGACCTCAAGTGATCAGCCCACCTTGGCCTCCCAAAGTGCTAAGATTGCAGGCGTGAGCCACCACGCCCAGCCTTAAAATTTATTTTTATGTAGAGATGGTGTTTCACCATGTTGGCCAGGCTGGGCTGGAATTCCTGACCTTAAGTGACGAGCCTGCCCTGGCCTCCCAAAGTGTTGGGATTACAGGTATGATTCAACATGCCTGGCCTTACTTTAACCTTTTATTGCTGGAAGGTCGTAGGACCTAGTCCTTAGCATCAGACATTCCTTTGAATCTCATCCTTTGAATTCCTAAGCCATTTCTAAGCGAATAACTTGTAACTGTGTATCTTAACCCAGATCTCTCTCCTGAACTCCAGCAGTCTCCACTTGGGTCTAAGACCTGTCAAACTCAACATACTTAAAACCCAGAATATTTCCTCCAAAATCTGTGGTCATGCAGCTTTCTTCTTTCCTTTTTTTTTTTTTTTTTTTTGAGAGGGAGTCTTGCTTCGTTGCCCAGTCTGGAGTGTGGTGGCACGATCTCAACTCACTGCAACCTCTGCCTCCTGGGTTCAAGTAATTCTCCTGCCTCAGCCTCCTGAGTAGCTGGGCTTATAGTCACCGACCACCATGCCCAGCTAATTTTTTGTATTTTTAGTAGAGACGGGGTTTTGCCATGTTGGCCAGCTTGGTGTTGAACTTCTGACCTCAGGTGAGAGGGTCTTGGCCTCCCTAAGTGTTAGGATTAGAGCTGTGAGCCACTGCACCCAGCCTTTGCAGCTTTCTCTGTCTCAATTGGTTGGCACCTCCAGCTCTTCCAGTAGCTCAGGCTGAAATCCTTTGGGTCATCTTAGGCCCTTTCTCCTCATACCCTATGGGAAATCCTATTTGCTCTAACTTCTCCACCGCTGTGGCTCAAGCCATCCTCCTGCCTCAGCCTCCTGAGTAGCTGGGACCACTACTACAAGTTGCACGCCACCACGCCTGGCTAATATATTTTGTAATAGAGACAGGGTCTGGTTATGCTGCCCAAGCTGGTCTGATCCCCTGGGCTCAAGCAATCCTCCTGCCTTGGCCTCTCGAAGTCCTGGGATTACAGCTGTGAACCATTTCTATCTGGCTACTCTAGCTTGAGTGAAGAAAGTTCATTGACCACTTCCACAGCTAACCCATCTCTTCTGGAACTTTGCCATAGTCTCCTGACAGGTATCCCTGCTTCTCAGTCTAGTAGCCACAGTGGTCCTTCTCAAAGGAAGTTATGTCCCATTACCCTATGCCCCTTCAGTGGTGCTGC